ATAGTTTTTGTCGTGTCCATCCCTCTGTCTGTCTGTCTGTCTCTCTCTCTTTCTCTCTCTTTGTGTGTCTCTCTGTCTGTTTGTCTGTTTGTACGCGAAAACTTTAATACTGCCCATTGCTTTTGATTTAGTGGAGCTTTGACTATCATATTTCACATGTGTATTCCCAGTTTTACATAAAAATCCAAACTTTTACTTTGGCCATATCATTTGAACATTGGATACCAGGGTTGTTATAATTTACATATAAGTCACATATATATTTTGTTAAGAGACATTTCATTGGATACCAACAACTTTGACCTTGGAGATTTTAGTACTTGTGAAAAAAACGTGTATCCTTGTTATAACTTTTGAACAGTAAGGCCTAGGGCTTTTATGTTTTACCTAATTGATCCTTGTGACAAGAACTTTCATTTGATATTAAAATTCTTGACCTTGGAGTTTGACACATTTTTACACAAAAAATCTAACTTTTACTTTGGCTCTAATTTTTCAATGGTAGATTCTAGGAATATCATATTTTAAATATCAAGTCTTCGTGACAAGAGTTATCTATTGAAACCAACAATTTAAACCTTTTGGCCTTAGAAATTACGCATTTACAAGAAAACTTTACCTGGCCATAACATTTGAATTGTAAGATTTAGGTCTTTCAAACTTCACTTATGTAGTCATTGTGAGAAGACCTTTCATTGGATTTCAACACTTTTAATACTTTGACCTTGGTTTTTGACCTACTTTTTACAAACAAATCGGAGTTTATCCTACCTTTAAAAACGCCTACCTTGGCCGTAACCTTTAAACAGGTGGTGCAAGGGTTTTCTATGTTATATTTGTATTTCTTGGAAAGGCCTTACTTTATGTACCAACATATGTGATCTGAACTGAAAAAAAAGTTATTTAGATTTTTTTTTTGCTTTCTACAAATCTGATTTTAAACTTTAAAAAAAAACTGCACATTAAATCTGGAAAATATATTTCTGCAGTGTATCAAAATTGTTCAATTCGAATTTCACCCATAAACATTATATTCATATGTTATTCAAATTGAAATAAAATTTGGCCTAGGTTTGCTTATGCTCGTTAGAAAATATTCTATTGTTACAAATACCACGACGCAAAAAGGAAAATACTTTTCCTTCAAATGTCTACTGAATTTGGATACAGCGGATCAAATCTTATAATTTTTAGAGCATTCTGGATGTAAAGCAACGACTCATGTTGTATCGGTGGTGTTTCAAATTTGAGGATGATATAATTTTTTTCTTGTCCTTTTCTGCAGAAGTTGATCTCAACGGTTCATTTGCATTTCGTGCCAATGTTTTGACATTTGACGACAATGAAAGACTCATTTTTGATAATTGGACACCAGTGACGTATCAGAACTGGAATCCTAACGATGAGGGCGAGACAGCAGTTGACCCAATCTTTGGCCTCCTTTTGACTTATCATAACGACGGCAGGTGGCGCTGGGTGACTGAGAGAAACTACACGTACTATACAGGAGAAGACGGACTAAAACTCCCCTTTATTTGTGAGGATTCTCCATTTTATTTGGAGCATGAAGAGTGTTCTGTTACATAATGATTCATTCTCTCTAAATTAAAATAAACATTTGCAACCATTATCTTTTGTTATATAATTTCATTAACAATGGTGTATTTAGTTCTAAATCATTAAATGGAGTATTCTTAAGTTAACGTTGGATCGTACATTCCTCTCCTCGGAAGAGATCTAAATTTACCCTTGGATTGTATATTCGTCTCCTCGGAAGTCATCTAGATTTATCCTCGGATCGTACATTCCTCTCCTCGGAAGAGATCTAAATTTATCCTCGGATTGTATATTCGTCTCCTCGGAAGAGATCTAGGTTTATCCTCATGTTTTAAATAAACTATGAATAGCATGTACAGAAAGACAAGCAGTGCATTATATTGTTTCGTTATTTTCCCAAGGAAACTGACTGGGATCTCCTCTAACCATACATACAAACATTTTAGCACAAAGTGTTGTTTTTAAAATCTCTATCCGTAATCCAAAAAACAAGGGGCAAATATATTTTCCTAGGACGGTCGGTCCAGTTGTCTGTTTGTTTGTTGTTGTTTTTTTCCTGATTTATCTGTGGTAAATCAATTAGCCCTGACTACAGCCTTTAATTGGTTTGAGCTATGAATTTCATATTTCACAGGTTTTTTTCTTTATTTTGACGGTCAATTTCGAATTCGAAATTTGAGCCTTGGTCATATGAACTATGGCTTTAATATTTCACTGGTGTATTCAACGTGTAAAAACTTTTCCTAGGGTAAAAGTATTTTTGACTTTGACCTTTATGTTTGACTCTCTTTTAAAGAAATTTTCTAAATTTTATTCTTAGCCATAGCTACTACACGGTTAAATCAAGTGATATCATACTCTTCACACTTATATTTTGATAAGACCTTCTCCTGAGTACAAACAGTAATGACCTTTAACCTTGATCTTATGGATTTGACCTACTTTTCAAAAACGTTAACTTTGGATGTATTTACTGAAAATTTAGTACAAGGGGTTAACCATTTTACCGGTTCATTTCTTGTGGTAAGAGCTTCTCTTGAATACCAATATTTTCTTTTTATTTTTTATCCTTTTATTTGGACATCAGACTTTGACCTTCTTTTGAAAAACTTTGGTGATAACTTTTGAATGGTTGATTCCGTGACTTTTATATTTCACCTGTGTATTCTTTCTGAAATTCTTTTGGGTATCATCAGTATTGACTCCTTGACCTTGTCCAGTTTGACCTACTTTTGAAAATCTCTAACTTTGGTCTTTAGTACTGAACTGTCGCTGCTTATTTGTTTTTTATTTTAGAAGGTAGACTCATTGTGAGGAACTTTTCTTTTGGTACCAAAACTAATTTTATATTGACCTTGGTGTTTGACCTGCAAACGACAACATTCATCATGAGCCTCTTTGTTTCACAAATTTATCTTGAATTTTTATCATTACCTCCTAAAACTTTTCCTAATGATTTAATAACAAATTTCAAGTTGTAGTCAATCAAATTTTTGGAGATATATATATATATATATATATATATATATATATATATATATATATATATATATATATATATATATATATATATATATATATATAATATATATATATATATATACCAAAGTCTACACATTGCATAATAGAGAATGACTTGTCATATTGAATCATTTATTTTAAAAGATGTAGTCTCATAATTGCAAAAGTATTTGCAAACATATTGATTAATGTTAGCTCGCTAAGTTTTATTTGCAAAGACAGTTGCAGATATAAGATAACATCTTTCCAAAAATAATGAGTCAGTGCTTTTTTTCTAACTCTTTGTCTTGTTTTGCAAATTTGATTTCTTCTTCAACTTACATGAATTATCTCTAACCTAAATAACAATGAATTTAAATAATTTCAAATTTTGGGTTTCGCTTATGACATTCCCCTTGCATTGTGTCAATTGAATGGCGGACACCACAGTGAAATGTATCGCAAATGTGTCGGATTAAACAGGTTCCGCTGTAATAGGTTTGACAATAAAGTAATCTACATCCTAATTCTCCGTCCAGACATCTTCATTTATTAGTGTGAATAACAACGAAATATTTCTAATTTCAAATTTATTACAACATATATAAAGTACATCATTTGCAGAATACAATCAGTAGAACAAGATCACAATCATTTATTGCTTTACATAATCCTTCATCCCCTGAAAACATATTTGTTTAGTCACTTCATGTCAAACAGTCTTACAGAAAAAGAACCCCGTGATAAATGTTAAATTTAAAACCGTCTCTTGAATCAAACTGGATTCGTCTAATTGATCGATGATCTTTCGTCTGTTAAGAAAAAATAGAATTAAATTAATGTTTCACAGAAATAAGGACATATTTCACTTTGAAAAACCTCTTATAACCTTTTGAAATTTTCACAGTAATACAAAAAGAAAAAAAAAAAAAAAAAAACTCTGTTATATTAGGATTTAATGATGTTTACCTAGTGACGTCTGACCATCATGAGGGTCTCCTTTATCTGTTTACTATCAGTCACTGTAGGATACCATGGCCAGAGCCAGTACCCCGGGGACCACTGACCGTTAAGGAAGGCGTCGGCACGCCAGTTGAACCACCAGCCTCCTCTACGGTTACTGAGAGCAGCACAGTTACCTAAATACCCGTCGTTATCCCTGTCTGGGGTACTGAAGTACATCCCAGACAGATCGGTCCTAGAATCACCAGTGTGTAACATAGAGTCTCCTGTAGAAAAAATGAAAATTTAATATTTGTCCTACACAGTGCATTTAAAAAGGTGTGATATGAAATACTAAGTAAATCATTAATAACGAGATCAGATATGGTGTATCTGTGAATGTTATAAGATGGTAGATTTCCTATTAAATTAATGTAAATGTGAAACGCGTTGAGGTCTTTTGAATTTGGCTTTTTAAGCTTTTTTTATTTGAAATTTTATCCGATCAAATTTTTTTTGTCATCAAATTTTCGTAAACCTTTGGACATTTAAGATCAATGACACACTGTAGACTTCCTATTCCGTAGTAGTAAAAAATGTTAATCATTGAAAATCAGACTATCATGTTCTGTAAACTTTTTCCGTATAAGTTACAATGTGAATTATAAAAAAATATCTGGAAACCCAAGCTGAATAACAATGTTGAACTAATGTAATTTTGGGATTTGTCTGTTAAAAAAAATAATATAATTTTCTTTGTACATAAAATGTATAATTAGAAATTGTTTACACTTGACAATTAGAAATTCAATATCAGCTGCGTATGTTAATTGTACCGGCCAATGATATTCTGAAATGTTAAACATGTTTAATTAGCATGGAATCAAAAACGTTAAGAGATTATCAGAAAAAAAACACATCCTTTTCTTTTTTAAAGAATTTTATAATTTATCAATACACAAAAGTATTATTTTAATGATATACGTAATTTGAACTTAATTTCAAAGTATGTCATTCGTCAGCTTATTAGAAAAGTTCACGCTGGACCTCTTATCTAAAAAAATTCATTAAAATACAATTATTATAACATACTTTAATTCAACAATGTTAATGGTTTAACAGTCAACGAAAACACTACTCAAAAAGCTACAAAGAAGCAAGTTTTATAAGGGACTACTTCTTGTGGTTGAAGAATACGTGTAAGCAGATAATTCTGCAAATCTGCACCTTTTTTAAATTGAATATCCTATAACTTTAGCCTCACATACTTTTACTCGGAGATATGTTCCGTTATGATATTACTGAAATATTTAATATAGGTTTGGATATATATTTTAAGAACACGTTTTACACCTTCTTTCAACAAACTTTGCCAAAAAATGAAGATATGTCTAATAAGTCAAGATAAAATTTACAGCATTTTTCACCCAAAAATCACATATTTTGACTAATATTTCAAATTTAACATCACTGACCCGAACTTTTTCTTTCATTTTTTTAAAGTACTCGATTCTTGTGACTAATCAGCACAAAAGTGGAAAAAAGATTGATTAATAAAATGTTTTATTGCCTTTCAATTAATTTGATACACCAAAAATGTTACTTTTTTGGTGCAAAAAGGTCACACAATAATTTAGGCGCATTAATTTGCAAGTTTTGTTCAATGATAGGTATTATTAAAACTTTTTTTACGTAAAAAAAAAATTAATTTATTGCCTTGGTTACATCTGGTAAAATATGATAAAGGTTAACTCAATTTTTCAAAATTTAGAGTTTGAGTGCAAAAAGGTCAACTCAATTATATCGTAGATCAATAGGATGCACACTGACCCCCTATTTCTTTTGCAATTTTGAGTCACACTATATGAGAACTTATTTAAAATATACTTCTAAAAAATCCTTGATTTAACAAATTTCACGTGTGACATACCTTTAGAAATTAACATGGATACACTTACCCAAGGTTCCCGTGGCAGGTCCTGCAAGAAAGAGTTGATATTTTCCTGCTTCGTCGGAGACAGAGAATCTGTCGTACGTTTCATACAGCGTTGTACCATTTTGTAGAGTTATTGTCACGTACAGGGATGAGGTACCTTCTTTGGTTAATTGATGGATTACGTCATTTCCTGATTTAAGATAATGATTTTCTTCTTTTCTTTTACTCTTTATTTGATATATCAGTCTAACATGATATGTATATATCGTAGAACACATATTACCAAGTATTAAGCTCAGATCTTTATTATGCTTCAATCTATTACCTGACACATGTATTTTTTTTTTAAATTTTGAAGGAATAAAAGTTCCTATTTGCAAGTAATTTACACTTACCAACCCAGACATCCTGTTCTGGGGCGCCAAAACCATTTTTATATTCCGTCCAGGTTCTGTCAAAGTCCAGGGTTCCATTAATTCGTTTTTGGATTGCCTTTAAAGTTAACACGTATAGCAAATCATTGTTTTCAACATTTGAGGGATCAATATATATGATATAATCTAAGAATATTTATACTTTTTCAGTCCATATTCCGTTAAACAACAAAACATTGAGTGTGAAATAAATTGTATAATATGCCTTTATATTAAAATAAACAACAAACCGTCCATCCCCCGCCCATTGTAGTCATATCGCAGTACGCCGGGACAGGACTGGTAATGGTACCATAGGGGTAGATTTCATACACCCCTGAATTAAAGTATCCATCTGATTGAAGATCCTTACAGTCTATTGGAGTGACTAAAGCAGAAAAAAACTCACAATCCATAAAAAACTAAAAAGTAATACAGGAACCATAATATGTGTATACAATGTACAGAAATAACTCATAAAATGTAATACTGGAATCATGCTATGTATATACAATGTACAGAAATAACTCATAAAATATAATACTGGAATCATACATTGTATATACAAGAATTAAGTGAGAGGAGTGACGTTATCTCTTAATTAAAGCTAATATATGAACTACAATGTAAATTTTGTTAAGCATGTTTTTATTACGGAAATTGAAGTGATTACAAATAATAAGAAAGGGCTATTACTTAGAACTAATTAATGATATTGAGCAATAAAGATTCATGATATTTATCTAATTTATGGTGAGTAAAAAAAGGAAAATAACAGATATACATACAGTCACGTGAGTAATATCTCCAGCCATCCTCATCTGATACTTCAGACATGAGGTTCCTCTTGTGGGTTCGACATTTTTTCATTTGAGAGTGGAAACCAAAGATACTACACTCGCTTTGACAACGCGCTGCACACTCTATTACTGATGTTGAGTTGTGTTCTCCTAAAGGTTCTTCATTTGACTTCTTATCATTGAGTTCCAGTTTGGCTTTGTATTTCCTCGAAATAATAGTAGACTGGCACACGTCAAAAAAGACCAAAACTAAAATAATTGCACAAAGAGCGCCCATATCGTAACTTGTACTTAGAACTACTGGCTTTGTCGTTGGGTACCTGTAGAAATGTGCTACGTAGTATACCAAACACAAAATATAAATATCAAAATAAACATCAGTTACGGAAAATGATTGGATAATGGTTACGTACTTCGTATGTTTCATTCATTTAAATATTGATTTGTTGAATCTGAAATAAACTAGTGATTATTATAATGGGAACCGTTACATATGTTCCCCAAACGCTCCCCTAGTCACTTTTCGTACCCTTGTGAAGAAAAGTAATTCCCCCATTGAATATTGACAAGGGTCATTTTTCGACGTCGAAAAATAACCCCTGCTCAATATTTTACGGCAATAATTGCCACCGGTCATTATTCGACGTCGAAAAGTATCATCACTCTTAAAACTTGCATAACCCAAGTGACAAAAAATAACCCCCGTAGAATAATGATTTCTTGTGGATTTAGGTTGAAATTTTTACAGGGCAATAAAAATATTTTTTGAAATGGGCTGAATAGGAAATAAATTGGTAATCTTGATCTCATTAAATTACACAATTATTGCTACTTTAAAGCGTCGTTAATGCGAATGATTCAGAATCTAAAAGAGTAAAAGATTTATCGAGCCTAATGGGCTAGGTGAACATTGTTTGATTATGGAGAGTCATCGTACTGGCTGAAAAATGCAGTATTATATAACTAGTTTTGTACAACCGTCGAAAAGCGGGAGAAAATGTAGGGATGATTATGTCCCTCTGTTTTTTACGCTTTGAGTTAACCCTAAAAGTTCTTTATCTTATTTCTCACCATTCAGATCCAGTTTTGCGATGTATTTCCCGAAATAATAGTAGACTGAGTCACCGCAGAGAAATCAAAAATGAAATAGATATCCAAATGAGTGACTATATCGTAATATGTATTTTAAAAAATTAACTTTTTGCTGGATACCTGTAAAAATTTGCAATGAAGTAAACCTCACGCCAAGTATTAACATATTAGGACATTTACTAGTGAAAAGTGATTAACTTACTATTACCTAGACCGTATGTTTCATTCATTAAGGTATTTATTTATTGAATCTGATGTGAATTACAACCCCACAATATGCTATGCATTCAAACATCAAATTACTGCAGCATTACAATTGCATTTAAGGTAAAATTTAACACGAGCTTTCATACAGTGACCTATTATACAGTAATACAACATTAACAGTTCTCCATCTCCCGCCCATTGTTGTCATGTCAAAGTAATGACATACAAGACTAGTAATTGTCGTCATCTCACATTAAACACAGACAGGACTAGTAATTGTCGTCATGTCACAGTAAACACAGACAGGACTAGTAATTGTCGTCATGTCACAGTAAACACAGACAGGACTAGTAATTGTCGTCATGTCACAGTAAAAACAAACAGGACCACTAATTGTCGTCATGTCACAGTAAACACAGACAGGACTAGTAATTTTTGTCATGTCACAGAAAACACAGACAGGACTAGTAATTGTCGTCATGTCACAGTTAACACAGACAGGACTAGTAATTGTCGTCATGTCACAGTAAACACAGACAGGACCAGTAATTGTCGTCATGTCACAGTAAACACAGACAGGACTAGTAATTGTCGTCATGTCACAGTAAACACAGACAGGACTAGTAATTGTCGTCAGGTCACAGTAAACACAGACAGGACTAGTAATTGTCGTCATGTCACAGTAAAACACAGGACTAGTAATTGTCGTCATGTCACAGTAAACACAGAAGGACCAGTAATTGTCGTCATGTCACACAGTAATTGTCGTCATGTCACAACACAGACAGGACTAGTAATTGTCGTCATGTCACAGTAAACACAGACAGGACTAGTAATTGTCGTCATGTCACAGTAAACACAGACAGGACCAGTAATTGTCGTCATGTCACAGTAAACACAGACAGGACTAGTAATTGTCGTCATGTCACAGTAAACACAGACAGGACTAGTAATTGTCGTCATGTCACAGTAAACACAGACAGGACCAGTAATTGTCGTCATGTCACAGTAAACACAGACAGGACTAGTAATTGTCGTCATGTCACAGTAAACACAGACAGGACTAGTAATTGTCGTCATGTCACAGTAAACACAGACAGGACCAGTAATTGTCGTCATGTCACAGTAAACACAGACAGGACTAGTAATTGTCGTCATGTCACAGTAAACACAGACAGGACTAGTAATTGTCGTCATGTCACAGTAAACACAGACAGGACCAGTAATTGTCGTCATGTCACAGTAAACACAGACAGGACTAGTAATTGTCGTCATGTCACAGTAAACACAGACAGGACTAGTAATTGTCGTCATGTCACAGTAAACACAGACAGGACTAGTAATTGTCGTCATGTCACAGTAAACACAGACAGGACTGGTAATTGTCGTCATGTCACAGTTAACACAGACAGGACTAGTAATTGTCGTCATGTCACAGTAAACACAGACAGGACTAGTAATTGTCGTCATGTCACAGTAAACACAGACAGGACCAGTAATTGTCGTCATGTCACAGTAAACACAGACAGGACTAGTAATTGTCGTCATGTCACAGTAAACACAGACAGGACTAGTAATTGTCGTCATGTCACAGTAAACACACACAGGACAAGTAATTGTCGTCAGGTCACAGTGAACACGGATAGGACAAGTAATTGTCGTCATGTCACAGTAAACACAGACAGGACTTGTAATTGTGGTCATGTCACAGTAAACACAGACAGGACTAGTAATTGTCGTCATCTCACCGTAAACACAGACAGGACTAGTAATTTTCGTCATGTCACAGTAAACACAGAAAGGACCAGTAATTGTCGTCATGTCACAGTAAAAACAAACAGGACCAGTAATTCTTGTCATATCACAGTAAACACAGACAGGACTAGTAATTGTCGTCATGTCACAGTAAACACAGATAGAACTAGTAATTGTCCTCATGTCACAGTCAACACAGACATTACTAGTTATTGTCGTTATGTCACAGGAAACACAGACAGGACTAGTAATTGTCGTCATGTCACAGTAAACACAGACAGGACCAGTAATTGTCGTCATGTCACAGTAAACAAAGACATGACTTGTAATTGTCGTCATGTCACAGTAAACATGGACAGGCCTAGTAATTGTTGTCATGTCACATAAAACACAGACAGGACTTGTTATTGTCGTCATGTCACAGTCAACACGGACAGGACTAGTAATTGTCGTCATGTCACAGGTAACATGAACAGGACCAGTAATTGTCGTCATGTCACAGTAAACACAGACAGGACTAGTAATTGTCGTCATGTCACAGTAAACACAGACAGGACCAGTAATTGTCGTCATGTCACAGTAAACACAGACAGGACTGGTAATTGTCGTCATGTCACAGTAAACACAGACAGGACTAGTTATTGTCGTCATGTCACAGTAAATACAGAAAGGACTACTAATTGTCGTCATGTCACAGTAAACACACACAGGACAAGTAATTGTCGTCAGGTCACAGTGAACACGGATAGGACAAGTAATTGTCGTCATGTCACAGTAAACACAGACAGGACCAGTAATTGTGGTCATGTAACAGTAAACACAGACAGGACTAGTAATTGTATTCATCTCATAGTCAACACAGAAAGGAACAGTAATTGTCATCATGTAACAGTAAACACAGACAGGACTAATAATTGTCGTCATGTCAAAGTCAACACTTACAGGACAAGTAATTTTCGTCATGTCAAAGTAAACACAGAAAGGAACAGTAATTGTCATCATGTAACAGTTAACACAGACAGGACTAAAAATTGTCGTGATGTCACAGTAAATACAGAAAGGACCATTAATTGTCGTGATGTCACAGTAAATACAGAAAGGACCATTAATTGTCGTCATGTCAAAGTAAACACAGACAGGACTAATAATTGTTGTCATCTCACCGTAAACAAAGACAGGACTAGTAATTGTCGTCATGTCACAGTAAAAACAAACAGGACCAGTAATTCTTGTCATATCACAGTAAACACAGACAGGACTAGTTATTGTCGTCATGTCAAAGTAAACACAGAGAGGACTAGTAATTGTCGTCATGTCACAGTAAACACAGACAGGATTAGTAATTGTCGTCATGTCACAGTAAACACGAACAGGACTAGTTATTGTCGTCATGTCAGAGTCTACACAGACAGAAATAGGAATTGTCGTCATGTCACAGTAAACACAGACAGGACTTGTAATTGTCGTCATGTCACAGTAAACACAGACAGGACTAGTAATTGTCGTCATGTCACAGTAAACACAGACAGGACTGGTAATTGTCGTCATGTCACAGTAAACACAGACAGGACTAGTAATTGTCGTCATGTCACAGTAAACACACAGGACCAGGACACAGTAATTGTCGTCATGTCACAGTAAACACAGACAGGACTAGTAATTGTCGTCATGTCACAGTAAACACAGACAGGACTGGAAATTGTCGTCATGCCACAGTCAAAGCCGACACGACCAGTAATTGTCGTCATGTAACAGTAAACACAGAGAGGACTAGTTATTGCCGTCAATGTCACAGTAAACACAGATAGGACTAGTAATTGTCGTCATGTCACAGGAAACACAGACAGGACCAGTAATTGTCGTCATGTCACAGTAAACACAGACAAGACTAGTAATTGTCGTCATGTCACAGTAAACACAGACAGGACCAGTAATTGTCGTCATGTCACAGTAAACACAGACAGGACTAGTAATTGTTGTCATGTCACAGTAAAAACAAACAGGACCAGTAATTCTTGTCATATCACAGTAAACACAGACAGGACTAGTTATTGTCATCATGTCACAGTAAACACATAGAGGACTAGTAATTGTCGTCATATCACAGTAAACACAGAAAGGACAACTAATTTACGTCATATCACAGTAAACACAGACAGGACCAGTAATTCTTGTCGTCATGTCACAGTAAAAACAATCAGGACCAGTAATTCTTGTCATATC